CTCACCCCAATTCCCGCCCTTGCTCTGCCAAGCAGGGCTTCATCCAAGGCTCACCTCCTTGCCCTGAGGGCTCCTGGCTAGAGTGCTCTACTTGGCCCCAGCCCCTAGCCCCTGCCTTCCTTTCCTTCTCTGCCAAGCCTGGGCCCTGCATTAGATTCTGGAGTACAGGTCGGCATCGATCCTGGGAAGGGCCCAAAAAGCATCATTCCTCCTTCACCACCTCCCTCAGTTTAGAGATGGGGAGATGAAGTCCCAGAAGAAAGCGGCTCTCCCAAGGCCTCCCTCTGCCCCTCCGCTCAACTGCACCTGCCTGCAGGTGGGAAGACAGCTCTGGCATAAGTGACCAAGGGGTGCAAGCCCCAGGGGCTGCATGGAGGCAGATGAGGACTAAGGCAGCCCCGCCCTAAAGTTGCCTCTGCTGTGGGCTCTGAAGGTTTGCCTAGCTGCTCTCCACACCCAGCCCCGTCCTCATCCCTGGGCCTGGTGCCATCCCCCGACAGATTCTCTCAGCACCCTTGCATGGGTCTCCTGAGCTCTGCCCACAATCCTAGTGGGCACAAATCAGGCTAGCCCCACTGTGTCCCTCCTGGCCAGTGCCCACGCCTGCAGCCTGGCCCACCTGAACCCCTAGGTCTGAACCTGGACCCCTTGACCTGGTCCCTCCTCAGCCTGCTCTGCCACCTATCAGACCTCCGAGACCCAGCCCAGTTCTTCCTCCTCCGCCGCCTCCTCCTCGTTCCCCTTCTTTCTCTCTTCCTCCTTCCCCTCTCCCTCTTTACCCTCCTCCCCCTCCCCTGTTTCCTCTCCTCTCCTCTCCTCTTCTTCCTTCTTCCTCGTCCTGGAAGTCAGAACAAATCTGAACCGCTGCCTTCTCCTCCCCAGCCCGTTCCTTGGAGGTGTTTGCTGCAGCCAGCCCAAGCCGTGGCTGTTCCTACCGCCCACCTCCCTAAACAGGGCCTGTGTCTGCTGCATTTTCACATTAACCATGATGTTCTGCCCAGCGTGGTGGCTCACGCCTATAATCCCAGCACATTGGGAGGCCAAGGCGGGAAATCACCTGAGGTTGAGAGTTCCATGCCCGCCCGACCAACATGGAGAAACCCTGTCTCCACTAAAAAATTCAAAATTAGGCCAGGTGTGGTGGGGCATGCCTGTAATCCAAGCACTTTGGAGGCCAAGGCGGGCGGGATCACCTGAGGTCGGGAGTTCAAGACAAGCCTGACCAACGTGGTGAAACCCCGTCTTTAAAAAAAAAAAAAAAAAAAAAAAAATTCAAAATTAGCCGGGCATGGTGGCGCATGCCTGTAATCCCAGCTACTCAAGAGGCTGAAGCAGGAGAATCAGTTGAACCCGGGAGGTGGAGGTTGTGGTGAGCTGAGATGGAGCCATTGCACTCCAGCCTGGGCAACAAGGGTGAAAGTCCGTCTCAAAAAAACAAAAAACAAAAACCATGATGCTCTGAAACACAGTTCTGGGACAAGGTCCTGATAAATATCCATTATCCTCAGACAACTATTATTCTCCCTGAGCCCCTGATCTCCCCCACTGAGCCAGGCAAACAGAGCATCCACTTCCCACCACCCCCAATGCCGGGACATCACCCAGCCCCTCCCCAAGTCTCTACAAACACCAACCCAGGTGGCACAGCTATCTAAAGAGAAGGAAGCATCCCTGGCAACATGCCCCTCCCTGAATCTGTGCATGCCCCAAATCTCTATATACCCCAGAACCTCCACATGCCCCATCGCAAGGGCCTGGGCCAGGCAGATTGTAAATGTGCCTCTGAAGACCACGTGCCATCCTCAGGCAGGTGTTCTGGGATAACTTCTCTGCCCGTGGAGGTGCTATGACGATGCCTGTGACAGCACCAGCCCTGGGAGCTCATTTCTAATGTGCATGAGGCTTGAGAGGCTCCCAGCAAAACCTGACAACACACCCAATGTTAGAACAGCAGTGTAAAGACAGATTCCCGGAAACGCCACAAAAGCGGGCCATTACCAATCAAGCTACTGGCTGCATTAGTAAAGGTCGCAGGAACTGAATCAAAATAGAAATCCATTTTGGTTGGTTTCATGGGGAAACAAAGAACACGCCGGCTGGCCTGTGTTTCTTTTGTCTCAGAGACTTCCAGACGCAGAGAGATGATAAACAGCCAAACAGACGCATTTCCTCGAGAAAGGGCTTTTGTGGCCAGTCATTTGGAAATGAAATACAGGCACTCTCCCCCTCCCTGACAGAAACAGATTATCGACCACACTGGCTGGTGCCTGCAGTGGGCCTGGTCAGTTGACCTTGGGAGGCTGTGGATTCTGGGCGGTTCTGCCCCTGGTCTCTGTGGCTGGGCAACTCCATCTCTACCCTCCAGGCTTCTGTCTCCTTATCCACAGCATGAAGAGTAGGGTCACATAACCTCCAAGGCACCTCCAGCACCAAAACTCTATGGTCCTCTTCTTGGTCAGTCACCACCTTCAAGTTTTTTTTTTGTTTTTTTTTTTTTTTTTTTTTGAGATAGAGTCTTGCTCTTGTTGCCCAGGCTGGAATACAACGGCATAATCTCTGCTCACTGCAACCTCTGCCTCCCAGGTTCAAGCAATTCTCCTGCCTCAGCCTTCCAAGCAGCTGGGATTACAGATGGCCACCTCCACATCCAGCTAATTTTTATATTTTTAGTAGAGACAGAGTTCCACCATTTTGGCCAGGCCAGTCTCGAACTCCTGACCTCGTGAGCCACCCACCTCAGCCTCCCAAAGTGCTGGGATTACAGGTGTGAGCCACTGCGCCCAGCTGATCTTCAGGTCCTTACTTCACCAGAGTTACTGCTATCCAACCACGGCCCGTGGGCCCACATGATTCAGCAGAATCAGTGTGACCACAGGTAACGTGGCAGCAGGACGTCATTACTTTTACTGGTGATAACAATGGTGGTACCATGTTCACACACTTGCACACACAGGCACACACACACACTACGGTGCTCCATCTTCGGGTGCTGTGAGTGAGCCTCATGAAGCCCACTGCCGTCACTGGTGGGTGCCTTCCCAGCCCTCCCCTTGTTTAAGCACGAACCCTTCCACCCCACAATCCCATGCCCAACACAAGGCAACAGGGAAGAAACCGAATGGAATCAAACTGACGGTCTCAGCAGCCCTTTACAGGTTGCTATTATTATATCTACATTGCAGTTGGGAAACTGAGGCTAAGGGCCAGTGAGTGCCTTAGAATCTTGGGATCATGATCAGGATTTTCACCCAGGCCAGAAGAGTCCAGTCAAGGGCTGGGCACCACAGCAAAGCTTCCTGCTGAGTAGACACCTGCCGGACTTCACATCCCTATGGCCCTGCACAGCATCAAATGCTTTCTGAAAAAAGGTTTGGAATTCTTAAAGAAGCCCTAGAGGCCGGCACCCTCCCTGCTGGCCCGCCAGAGCCAGTCCTCACTCAAGAGGAACCCAACCCGCTCCTTCTTCCAGGCACGGCAGCATCCAGGGCAGATGTGGGCTCCAGTCCCACCTCTGACATCGGCCTGTGACCATGAGCAAGTTTTAGCTCTCTCTGAATCTCACTCTAGCCGGGCGAACACTGGGAGGGTCTCCTGAGAAGCTGGACCTGGTCTCCATTCTGTCCAGGGAGCAGGAACCCATGTCCCATTGGAGGGGGACAGTCAGCACCAACACAGCAAGACAAAGAAGTGGCCCTCAGAACCGGGTCCACAAGAGACAGGATTATTAAGAGGGGGGATTCTGTGCAGGCGGAAGTCTGTGGTCCTGCTCAATTCCATACTGGAGGTGATCAGGAGAGCCTCAGCTTCTCCCGGAAAGAATTCAGAGGCCCTTCCTTCCATTATAGGGACCAAGATCTCCCCCTGAGGGGCTCTGACTGGAAGCTTGCTGAAATCCCAAATCAGCATGCTCCTGATTTCAGGAGCTGCCATGCACCTTTGCACTTCAGCACAAATTCCACCACAGTCTGGGCTCCAGCCCTGGGTCACAAAATGAAGCCACACATGAAGGTTCTGCACCCCAAGACCTCCTCAGTGGAAGGAAAATGACTGCTGAGTTTGGTCCACCCTTTCCCACCTCCCTTACCAAAGGCAAAATCATCAAAACAGGCCCAAATCTGCATCTTACAGCCAGGGAGACTGGGGACCACCAGGCCAGGGCCCTCCATCACCAAGGTCCCCCACCACCAGAATTGCCCAGGCTCGGTCACCGCTTAGCGGACCCCAGCGCAGCCCTCAGCAAGTGCTCTTCCCCAACAGCCCTTACACACACACACACACTCTCTCTCTCTCTCTCTCTCTCTCTCTCTCTTCCCCCGCCTTACTTTTTCTTGGATAATTTCTTTAGTAAGATACTTCAAAACAAGCTTTTAGTTTAATCTATTCCCATTTTGTGAGCAATAGCTCTCCCTAGAGTCCTGATTTCTTGCGGAAGAAGGCATTAGGAGAGGAAGGCTGAGAGCGTCGCCCCGCTTTCCCTCTCAGCCAGCTGCAGGACACACACAGGCGTCCACACACTGAAGGGCTCCTCTGGGGGGACCAGCTACCCAGTCCGGAGTCCACCCGGCCACGCCCCTGTGAGTGGTGGGCACGCACTCAATGCCAGGACAGGGAGCTCACTACCTCACACAGGGCCCATCTTGGGGGACAGGGGAAAGGAGCCAGACCTGGTCCACCTCCGCTCACCCACCCTGAGGCGACCCCAGAACAGGGGTGGGGGGACATCACAACTAGGAGGAGCGGGGTCTGCCTGACCCCGCCGGCAAAAGAGCCGGGAGGGGACCCTGTGCCTCCCTTGCCCGCCAGAGTCCTTCGCCCCCAGCTCCTCCCGGGTAGAACCCTCTTGCAGAGCCTGAGGATCCCGCCAGGGCCACTGCGCGCGCCTCCCCAGCTCTGGAGCAAGGGAAGGAGCGCGGCGCAGGTGCAGTAAGGTGCCGGTCCACGCGAGTCCCGTCGACCCCGGGGGTTGGGGGCGCCCCCGGTGCGGGCCGACGCCCCCTTACCGCAGAGCAGCAGCAGCAGCGGGAGAAGTTGCGGGCGCCGCCGCGCTCCCGTCCCCATGGCTGGCCGGCCGCGGCTGGGTCGGGCTCGGTCCAGCTGGGGGCGCGGCTGGGGGGACGCCGGGATGGGGCGGGTGGGGCGGGGCCTCAGGGGGTCCGCCCCCAGGCCGCGCCCCCCAGGCCGCGCCCCCCCAGACCGCGCCTCTGGCCGTGCCCCGACGCCTCCAGAAGGGGGATGCAGGCCCTGCAGGCGCGCCAGGTGGGACGGAGCGGGGCTGGAGTCTGGGCTGGAAGCTCAGCGAGGGTGAGAGTGGGGCGAGGGCTGGGTTACGAGCTGGGGACAAGCTGGGGTAAGGTAGGGTGCGGGCTGATGGGCTCTGAAAGTGGGTCAGGGGTGCTGAGCTGCAAAGGAGCGTTTTGGGGGCAGACTGTAGGGGCAGGCTGGGAGGTGAGCTGGGGTGAGGGTGGGGGCTGACTGATGGTGGGCTGGGGTGCAGGCTGGAGGGACTTGGGGAACTTCCGTCCAGGCTGTGGGGCAGAGTGTGGGGGTAGACCGGGGAGAGTGCTAAGGCGAGGGTGAAGCACGGGCTGATGATGGGCTGGGGGGGTGTTGGGGGTAGACTGGAGGAAGGTGGACCTGGGGGTGGGCTAGGTGTGCCCTGGCCAAAAGTAGGCCAGAGTACAAAGCCACACTCCGGGCAGGGAGGGGACATTTGAGGAGAGACTCATCTAGAAGGCAGGTCTCCAAGGGTCAGGAAAGTGCTGAAGGAGGTTGGGGTGTGCGTGTGTGTGTGTGTGTGTGTGTGGTGTGTTCATGGAGTATGTGACTGTGAATGTGGTGTGCATGTGGGGTGTATGTGTAGGTGCGTGTGTGTTCATGGAGGGTGTGATGTATGGTGTGTGTGTGGCATGTGTGAGTTTGTAGATCTGAGATGAGGTGTGTTTGTGACTGTGAGCCTGGGAGACAGCGTGTGTGAGAAGAGACAAGGTTGTGGCAACTGCACGCAGAGAGACACATCACACACAAAGGACCAAGCCACAAGCAAACCGAGGGGCAGGAGACTCTCTGGCACCCCCAAAGTCCTGGCCTTGAAGGGTGTTGGGGTCCCTGAGGGGAGGGAGGGCCTCAGTTCCTCCAGCTGCAGGTCACTGAGCCAGATGGGTCACCTCTGTCACCCTTAGCCCCTAGCACAGGCCCTGGCTCCCGTGGACACTTGATGGTGTCTTCAGAATTGCCTCTGGTCAGAGCTTCTGAGACCCAGCTGGAGGCACCTCTCTGCCCTCCAGGCCCCACTCACCACCCCCAGGGGCGCATGCTGAGGCTGGGGCACAGGCCCAGGCTCCCACATGGATGGGCCCTCCACTCCTCCGAGCCGTTGGTACTGCCGCCTTCCCAGGAGCTGAGCTGACCTTCTCCTGGCTTAGAAAAACCCACTTTATTTCGTTAAGATCCTTATTTGGGAGCAGAAATTTCTGTGCTTTTTTTGCTGAAGAAATTCTGATTACAGCCAGAATTAATTCAAATGAGTCAAAACTAATTAAAATTGATCATTTGTCCTGCCTTCTGCATGAGAGGGTAGACAGCTGGTGCAGAGGTGGTCATAGAGCCCCCAATGAGACTGATGGTGCCCACAGCCAGCCCTTCTGCCCATAGGCCAGGGATCATAAAATAAGCCAACCAAGGCAGCAGGGGCTGGCTCCCCCACACACAGCCAAGACAAACCAAGAGAATGGTCCAGGCCTGGGTGTCCACCCACATTCCGCACAGACTCGGCCCTACAGCTCTCTCCCAGAGAGTCTTAGTCCCCACTCAGTCCCACAACCCCAAATGTGGGTGCACACAGCTTGCCTGCGAGCTGGAACTGTAGGATGGGGTTGTCAGGTGGGAGGGGCCAGGCAGTTCCCCAAAGCCTGCACCAGGGAACAACACTCCATTTCCTGGACTCCCCACCCTGGCTCTGCAGCTGGGAAGCCCTGGCCATCCTACAGAGCTGCGTCCAACACCTCTCCTCCATGGAACCAACCATGCCCCGACAAACTCCCGGGGCACTGTGTCTACTGTCCCCTATGTCCCTCTAAGGCAGGGCCCTCGCTTTTCCTCCCTCTGTCCAGGGCTGCCCATGGCGTCTGCAGGGCAGGTGGGCTTAACACAAGCTGTGAGGAGCTGAGCTGTGGGAGAGAGGGACCTCCCTCCTCACGGTGCATCCCGCTGACCCTGTGTGTGGAGGGTCTTCCGCCATAAATGAGATTGACAGTAGGGTGTGCCCTGGACAGCGCCCGTTTCCCTACTTGCTCCTTGGTGGATGCTGGACCCACGCCACTCCTATGTCTGGGGTCCTGTGTGCACTGAGATCCTCCCAGGAATCTCCTTTTATGGTTCATAATTTTTTTTTTTTTTTTTTTTTTTTTTGGCGGCTGAGTCTTGCTGTGTCACCCAGGCTGGAGTGCAGTGGTGCAGTCTCAGCTCACTGTAACTTATGCCTCTGGGTTCGAGCAATTCTCCTGCTTCAGCCTCCTGAGTAGCTGGAATTACAGGTGCATGCCACCATGCCTGGCTAATTTTTGTATTTTTAGTAGAGACAGGGTTTCATCATGTTGGTCATGCTGGTCTCGAATTCCTGACCTCGTGATCTGCCTGCCTCGGCCTCCCAAAGTGCTGGAATTACAGGCGTGAGCCACCGCACCGGGCCCATAATTCTTTATGCCAAACTTCCCCATTCAGATTACGGTGTAGTCTCTCTCCTGGTCAAGCCCTGATACACCATTATCCTGGTATTTATTCTGTGATTCCGCTTACTCTTAAATAGCTTTAAGAGAACATTTCCTTGACACTCAAGTGGACTTTTTTGTTGTTGTTGTTCATGATGTGATGTTGTTTAGACGGAGTCTTGCTCTGTCATCAGGCTGGAATGCTGTGGCGCGATCTCGGCTCACTGCCAACTCTGCCTCCCGGGTTCAAGCGATTCCTCTGCCTCAGCCTCCCGAGTAGCTGGGATTACAGGTGCACGCCACCACGCCCGGCTAATCAAGTGGCCTCGACACTCAACTGGCCTTTCCTAAGAGGAAGAAATAACATTCTGGTGTTTCTACTAGATCAGAGGAACACATGGCCGCTCGGCCATTTACCCTCCCTGGAGGTAATCCTTCTGCCCGGTGCCCACGTGTGCGGACCGGGGCCTGAGCACAGAACAAGGTGAGGTTTGGGATCCGGCTCTGCTCCTTCTGGGGCTAAACCTTGGGAGGGTCGGGCTTGAGAAGCGAGCCCAAGGGAGCCATTCCCGGACACTTGGCCCCCCCTGCTGGACAGATACTGAAATAACGGCATCACCGTCGATGAGGCGCCTCTGTCCCGGAGGCAGCAGCAATGCCAGGTTGACCCCTCTCCAGGGACACGAGCAGAGGACTTGTCTTCGAAGAAAGGGTGATGAAGGTGATTCCAGGAAGGGGTGCCTCTGATCCTCATCTGTTTTCCACCTTCCCACTGATCAGGACACAACTTTCCATCTCCTGTTGCTTTTGTTTGCTCATTTAATTGCAATTTTATTTTATTTTATTTTATTTATTTATTTTTTTTTTTTTTTGAGACAGAGTTTCGCTCTTGTTACCCAGGCTGGAGTGCAATGGCGCGATCTCGGCTCACCGCAACCTCCGCCTCCTGGGTTCAGGCAATTCTCCTGCCTCAGCCTCCTGAGTAGCTGGGATTACAGGCACGCACCACCATGCCCAGCTAATTTTTTGTATTTTTAGTAGAGACGGGGTTTCACCGTGTTGACCAGGATGGTCTCGATCTCTTGACCTCGTGATCCACCCGCCTCGGCCTCCCAAAGTGCTGGGATTACAGGCTTGAGCCACCGCGCCCGGCCTAATTGCAATTTTAAAAAAAGCACACAGCATCAGATCAAGCATTTTAGGTTGGATGTGGTGACTTATGCCTGTAATCCCAGCACTTTGAGAGGCCACAGTGGGCTAATTGCTTGAGCCCAGAAATTCTAGACCAGCCTGGGCAACATGGTGAAACCCCATCTCTACATTAAAAAAAAAAAAAAAAAAATACAGAAATTAGCCATGTGTGGTGGCACGCACAGTCCCAGGTACTGTGGAGGCTGAGATGGGAGGATGTCTCTCCTGGGACTGTGCGTGCCACCTGGGAGGTCGAGACTGCAATGAGCCATGATTGCACCACTGCACTCCAGCCTGGGTGACAAGTGAGACCCTATCTTAAAAAAAAGAAAAAACAAATCATTTTAACCACTTTCAAGCGCCATTTAACCATGCTATTTTAACACTTCAGTTAAATGTTAAAATATTTAGATTTTTAAATGTTAAAATGTTCAGTAGCGCGTTTAGACCACGCGGCTCCAGGACTTCTTCATCTTTCCGCACTGAAACTCTGTCCCCATTAAACACTCCCCATACGCTCTCCCTCCCTGAAGCCCCTAGCAGCCACTGCTTTCTCTTCTTTCTCTTTTTTTTGTCTCCCTCTCCCTACCCCCCACCTTTTCATTTTCTGTCTCTATGAATTTGAGTACTCTAGAGAACCCATTTAAGTGGAATCACATGGGATTTGTCCTTTGGTATCTGGCTTATTTCGCTGATAATGTCTCCAAGATCTATCCATATTGTAGCATGGGTCAGAATTTCCTCCTTCTTTTTTTTTTTTTTTATTTAGTTTTGCTCTTGTTGCCCAGGCTGGAATGCAATGGCACCATCTCGGTTCACTACAACCTCTGCCTCCTGGGTTCAAGTGATTCTCCTGCCTCAGCCTCACTAGTAGCTGGGATTACAGGTGCCCACCACCACACCTGGCTGATTTTTTGTATTTTTAGTAGAGATGGGGTTTCACCATGTTTGCCAGGCTGGTCTCAAACTCCTGACCTCAGGTGAGCCGCCTGTCTCGGCCTCCCAAAGTGCTGGGATTACAGGTGTGAGCCACTGCGCCTGGCCTCCTTCCTTCTAAAGGCCAAATAATATTCTGTTGTATGGATAGATCACACTTCATTTATCCATTCATCTGACATTCATTTCCTTTTTTAAGTCAATGAAGCAAGTTTACTTTCATTTGATTTTATTTTTGAAAAACCTAACATTTGCAGTAGGTTCGAAGGTCTCTGGCATT